TTGAAAAATCAATAAGGAAGAAGAACGCTTTGGATTGTTAGTTGGATAGGCCACCTAGATATCAAATCTTTTGGAACATGATATTGAAACTTGTACATGACGTTGTGGTCTCTATTTCAACGCCATGATTCAGGACTTTATTTCAGCCTGTATTAAAAGTTATATTTGTTCACATTCATTCAATACGACATATACAGCACAAAACAATAATGATTTATTTCTATTAGTTTTCGAACACTATATCTACCAATGTTAATCAATATATAGCCGAAGCTCAATGACATTTCCATTTAAAGTAGACGTATATATGCAATTCATGTTGAATAGAATTTGTTAGTGATAGTGATGTTCCTATCCCTATATGTCTGTGCACGAATAATGACGGTTCACTGCCTAAGACATCAACGAATGTGAAATATCAATAACATCGGACGTCAAATTCTCTATAAATTGATCATATCGCAAATGAGGAACTGTATTGATTTCTCTTGGTTCATGATTTCTTAGAGAATTGCATTACTCATCCCGGTAGGATTAACATCGTGCAATATCTCCAATGTATGCGATAGATGCAGTCGGCATTCTTAATCAAATCAACACCAGAAATGTATCGATGACTTATGCTAATATATATTTATATTATTTTCTTTTGTACTTACTTGTACATAATAACAGTATTACCCATGTGTTCTTAACCAAAGGTGATAGCAATGGTCTTGTTTTTATAGAATTTAGTTCAGAACAACACAAACTCATATAACTGCTTTACGACTTATTATATACACTGCTGTTTTATTATTTTATCATTATTAGGCATATTATTTAGTAGACTAGAAATGGACAAGTATAATACATGAATAGCAAAATGGTCTTTGACCTAATTTATAGGACAGTATTTAAGTAAATGGCTATATGAATCTTACACTAAACATGTAAAAACAGACCCTTAAAATGGTGTTTTCGGACACAACTTTTCCAGAAATACCTGCAGATGTGCAAATGATTGCCTGAAAATTGATCAAGTCACATCTAAAACAGAATTGAGTATTTTTCTATGATCTGGTATAACAGAACGACCAGAAAAAGATATATATACAAACTGTTTTGCGCACACAATAAATATAGAAATAACCAATAATTCATATTGTCATGTCTAAAAGATAATTATGCGACACAATATTGACTTAATTTTTGACTATGTGTTTTTATAGAAATAAACATTTGATGCTGAAGAATATTTCAATGTAAAAGTCAATTTATATTCGTTTAACCATACGTCAGTTTATATATGTTTATTTGAAATCATACCCACGTAATACATTTATATTACAACGTATCTTAAAATGATCAAATAATTATTCATCAGGGCTTCCATACAAACATTAATTACTTAATACGTAGCATATGTAAATGATGATCAATTAAATGAAATATTGATCTTTTTGTATTTAAACCTTGTAGTATGTCTGTAATATACAGTTTAAGGTAACATATTACAAGATTTTTTCTGTCTTTTTGTAACCATATTAAACATGTTAAGGATTTATTTTGAAAACAAAGTCTATACAATTTATAAAATTATGAAATTATTTTCCCCTCAATACAAGTTGTTCAATTTTAGACATGTAATATTATTAACTAATTACACATCTGAAATGTTAGTGTAAACGTTTTACAAAACTGCATGCATGTGATGCTATAAGACAAATTTGTCTCGTGATGAAAACCCACAAGTATATGATAGTATTACTGAATACGAAATGACGGCCTACCTCCATGTTTTCATTTCCTTTTCCCAAAACCAAATAACTCAACTTATGTAACATTAACTAAAACTTATTTCACAGAATGAGATGGTTCATAATGACACTTGGAACATTAGCAATGGTATCTGTTGACATATCATGATACACATTGTAATGCCTACAACATTAATACTAAGTTAGAACATTTAATTTAAAACAAAAAAATGCAGATGAAATTATTTCATTCTTTTTTTTCCTATTTATATATTAAAATTAAACTGATTTATACATTAGTTAAGTATTTCCACAAATTTACATATCGCCTTTGGATGCTGTACCCACTTCTGTCTGCCCCTTAGGGCTAAACTGCTAACACTTGTAAAGGAATAGGTTCATATGAAAACTCTTTAATATCCTGATGTTTGTTATCACCTTCCATTTTTTAATGTGGTGTTAACTTTCACAAACAGTTTTAAACATTTTCAACATTTATGAATTATATTTGTTTGAGTCTGTTTAAATTTGTATTAGCATTTGAAATATTGTACTTGTGTGAACACGCAATATCTTCATATACATCATATGAATAACATAGAAGTGTAAATAATTGAAAGTCATCTATTGAGAAAATAACAAAAAATAAGTTTTTTTATTATGATTAGTTACAACAATGTTTTAAGCCAAAACATAAAACATATTTGTTTAAACTGTTCACTGAATTACAACAACTAAGTTCTTGAATGATAAAAAATGAAATATAAACAGTAAACTGACCAATAAAAACATTATCCATTGTTTCTAAAGAAATATTAAAGGTGGAATTTGATAAGTTGTTTGATATGTACATATATTTAAGCATCTATGTGTTCTTTATTGTTTTCATTAAATCAGGTAGAACGTGAACAGCAGCACTAATAATGTGCTTGTTTTAAAACCAACGAACCTTTCCATATACCTACTGTCATTGCACATGTGTCAATTTCATGAAAGAAAAAAAGTGTGATTTTCAATTGTTTATTTATTTGATAATCTCGACAATTCATTTTCATAAACATGATTATGGATAAAAAGACATCATCCACAGTACAAAATAAAACGTATCGCAGGGGAGAGTACTCTTGCTTTGTATCGGTAATGTCAATTGTTCAACTGATATGTTTAACTTCATATATGAACTGATTGTATGCTATTTAAATACTGTTAATGGACAGGTATTTATCTATGAACATTTTACATTATTGCATATGGAAAATATAACTATAGTTTGTAAGATTTCTTTTCGAAAAAAAAGAGTAATAAGCTTATTTTTCACTCTTTCCTAATTGACTGAAATGGATAATGAAATTGATATATTATTGTTAATGTGAACGTCAGTGGATTTGCAAAAAATAAGTGTGATCTCAAATATTTAATTAACTACTCATAATCAATCAGTGACACATATCCATTATAGTCTAAGCTATACTATCATTAAAACGCATGTCTGCTCATTTTATAGATCAAATATTACTTTCTCTTTTTGTGTTAAGACCTAACGTGAAACAGAGTAAAAATAGAGTATTTTTTGTGAAGCAACTGTGTAAAATGTTATTTTTTTACCTGCAGTTAGCTTATTATTCAAACTCAAATTTCTCTATTTAGCTTGTAATGTCAGTCATACATATTAAATAGTAGAGATCTGTCATTGTTGACAAACACGTACCACTAAATACTCCAGCACCATGTTTTGTTATGTATTGCATTTTGCTAATCGTGAACAGACATTTCATTCCCGTACAAATAACCTGACACAGGCAGGAATTAGCAATGCATCACACTGTAAATAGGCCTGACATCAGTATGTAGGCTGTTAGGTTATTCTGTGTAACGATTTGCCTCACTGATTGTGTGCAGGTAAGCATTGACAGGGGGACAAACACATTTGAATATTTCAACAGAATAGTCAAATTTCTGGCTTATTTAAATTCTTTCTTGAGGCAATACTGTCTATACCATCAAATAAATTAGGGTTATAATGTTAAACATATTTGTCCATACAAATTAAATATCATACATAAAATGTCTTGTTGATATGGTATTATTTGTTTATTAAATTATATTTATATAGGCATACAAGAAACAAATATGAACTGATGGTTTTTTGTACTATTTTCAATTTTCTATTTTATTCTCGGACAAATTTCTTTTGATAATCACAAAGGAAAGCAGATATAATCCACCAGAGTTTTTTATGCATAGTTGGTGTGAATGTTGACAAATTCTGGCATTTGTTCCTATATAAAATTTAAATAGGATGTTCATTTGCACTTGTCTCAAGTCATTCTCCTGATCCCTTCTCATGTTGTTCTCTTGCAGCATAAAAAGGCAAGACAAAACCATAAAACCGCCATGCTTTCCGGATTTTATGAGCGTATTACCATTTTATAGTAGAACTTGTAGTGTTACAGCAGGGGGAAGAGTATAAAACCAAGTATTCAGGTAATTGGTAGGCTTTTAAACCTACTTGACGAACAACATCCCTTTAACCGAGAGTTAACATTTCACGGTAACAGCTTCTTGATATAAAAACATTTAAAATGTGACAATAAATGTAGCATTTCAACTAACTTGTAAGGCTTTTTATGTTAGTTTTAGTACAAAATATGAAACCTAAGCTATTTAGAGAAACCTTATTTTTGTCTGTGATATGGTTAAAATGTCGTATTGCGGATTCATTCTCATCAAATGTTATGCGTTAATGAAATTGTATATAAACATCTAGCATACCTTGTACGCCTCCTAGCCATAATAAGTAAACGCAAGTTTAGCAGGGACACATATAGTCGTACAGAGTATAGGTGATGTGTTCTAACATATTCATTTATTTTAGATTGTTTTCATATTTATCAAAACATGAAATAAATAAATAAATGGATGAACCTATTTATGAAATTATTATACCTGCGATACAATGTTTAATAATTATTTCGCTGTGTAACTTAAACAATAACATTGAAACTTGAATTCATGTAGCTAGTGTATCTCCGTGGCAGAATGTAAATAAATCATAAAATCTCAATGACTAGGTCAATAGAACACCTGTCGACAGCGTACTGTTTTACAACAACATATTATGACGGATTAAACACGCTCACTGATTGCCTAAAGAATGTGTTATATAACTGATGGTCTTGGTACTTACCCACATTTCCTGTGCACACGTGAGCAAGTGACCCGTTTACTTTTAAAACATAGATATCTAAATATGTTACTAACCTACTATAGACATCCACGGGTAGAATGATGGCGGTGTTTCTCCTTCGCTCGGGGTGGCTGGGGTGCCGGTGGAACAGGGACTTAGAGGTTCAGCTTTGTTGTTAGTACCGTTCGTTGTTAATCCATCGGCGGAATTGTCTCTGAAGCGTAAATTACTGGGAACACTCATATTCGGGTAGAATGATGATCGTCCCGCCTGCAAACCCATCCTTAGGTCGTGACTTCTGTGTTGCTGAAGTGCCTCCATGCGACATGCTTCTGCCTGGTAGGACCCCATATAATATCGGGGAGACCGATAGTCTGTTGATGAGGGACATATTTCAGGAATATTTAGAAAATGATCCATATATGTTGAATTTTCTGTTGATGTCGAATGGATGTCATCGCCTGGTCTAGTAGAAGCAGTGGGGCGCATAGGTAAATACGAACTCATCCCCAGTTTCTGTGATTGAGGGTACTTGTCAGCGATATTTTCACAGGACGAAACCATCTATGGAAGCGAAAATTATTTTAGTTCCTGAAAATCCTTGACTATAGCACCTAAACACTGCAACCCTTACAACAGATAAACTAACACATTTCCTAGTCCGCCAATCAAATCACATCGTTCTTGACCTCTCGTGACCCCAAAATTTCACCGCGCGAGGCTGATTCGCCTCCGCCACAAAAAGCAGTTCCTCGTTGCATAGACACACCGAAAAGGCTAAATATACAAACTCTAAAATATGGCGTTAACATAAACAAAACCGAACAGCGTACGTTTCTGATATCTTTCCTTGAGCAGGACGTAAACATTTAGGTAAGTGGCTAGTGTTATACTCCTATTGAACAAATTTGCTCCGAATGACTAATGCGTACATCAAAGGGTTTAAACTGACAGCCATCAAATCATTTCGCTATTTCTCAAATTTTGTTCTATTTAACGATGAGCTTATGTTCATATCTGTGCATACAAGTCCACCAGATATTGGTTAAATCAAAGAGCTAGGAATGAAATTTGTAATGATTAATTGGTGCATGTATATATAGCTCTCTTGGTTGATACATTACAGTGCGAACCAACCACGAGTTGCTGTCGTTAATTGTTTGAGGAGTAAGAGAGTGTTTATTAGGTTATAGCTCTATCAGGATACAGGTGACGGACGCTTACTGACCTTATCTGTTCTCTCCTCTACAGGGCTTTTATCTTTCCACTTCCAACATACTTCTCAGATGCTGTGTTTTAAAGAATAAATTATCGAAGTAATATTCACCTACATGAATATAATACCTTGGTACAGATGAAAGTCAATTAAGATAAGATTATAGGTCAGTGCGATTTTTTGTTTATACAAATTTCGTTTGAAGTAGAATTTACCACGTAAAAAATACGAAAACAATATTATAAAATTCTTGATTGTATTTGTTGTAGATCAGATCTGTGTCAGATCAGTATTTCTTCATCATCGATGCATTTTTATTTCATAAATGTGTTTCTTTGAATTAAATTTTGTGTTTGTGGTTTGTTTGAAAAAATGCATGATTTACAAGTATTACACAGAGTTAAAACATTTAAAACTATGTATATTGCAAAACAAATAGATATTTGTAATGGAACAATTGTGCAATTGTTTTTCTTAGCTACAAACGAAGATACTGAATGAATCATAAAAAAATAAATGAATATTTGATGTCCAAAATCTTTGATGTTATTTTCGAAACCCTGACAGAAAATATTAATGAGTTTTTGGGAGGATACACGTTCCTTTCATGTGCTTGGGTCTAGTAAACAGATTGGGCTTAACTATTGATTACACTTAATTCTAGGTTTATATTATAAATTTGTCTAAGAAAGAAAATACGTAGCCAAGTAAAGAAATGAAAATTCGAAACCCCATTGTGTTGTATTTGTGGAGAACTCGGCTCAAATGTCAGCCACCCCTGTATCAATTATAGCATAATTCAGGCCCTTCCACCCTTGTTATTAACACACCCCAAGCACTTTTTGAAAGTGACAGGATCTCGAGATTTAGATCTCATCCACACAGAGAGTTAGGCGCAGCTATGTTATCAGGCTGAAGCCATAAAAAATGACCTCGAGATTTGTCTATAATTAAGAAAAGTCCCGAGACTGTATAGAATTTATTTTCGGATTAACACTGAAATAATGTATCTGTAGCACCTGGTGTTCGTTTTCGGTTGTATATTTTTAATGTGCCTTCAGTCTGTCCACAAAATGTTTATCTGGACCGTAGGGATTTAAAATTACGCAATACTAATAATGTGATTAAATATCGAACAGGAGGGTCTATAAAGACGACACACTGGTTTGAAGGGTGGACAGGTTATTCACAGTGTAATCTTAATCCAAAACAGCAGTAATTTGTTCAAATGTATTTTTTTAAATATTTATGTATATTTGTTCTTAATCATTGCTAAAACATATGTTAAATTATGTGTAAACAGTATTTGTTTGTCATTGTACTGCTATCTTCATTATTAAAATTGATCAATAATAAAAGTAATGTGTTCGAAACGAGACATTACTTGTTATATATTTATATTACATTTAATCAATTTTACATATTTAAAGTTCAGTTTTAAGTAGGTACTGCACTGTCCAATACAAATATGATAATATTGTAAGATGGTGAATTAAAAATGCATATTCATGAATGTAACGCTGAGAAAAAATGCATATGCATCACCAGGCTAAATACCGTGTGAATTCTTTGATAAAAATAGCATGCACGTGTACCAATGTAAAAAAAAACACGCCTTGTACAAGTATGACTGATATACACTTTGTGAGAATTTACAAGAATAGAAGGAAACATGACATATTTGAACATTTATTATGAAACATGATGCAAATGGAACGCTAATGGTCTTTTATGTGTTGTTGTTTAAACATATAATATGGTTTTAAATCCATTTCGTGCTATTTTAAATCTAAAATGTAAGACTCTACCAATGGGGCTCCCTTGTATTAATGATTGTGATTTGCAATATTGTTAGGTCTAATCGAAGAATATCCAATAAATGAATAATTTAAAAATTATATATGACTTATATCATAATCTATGTTTAATATATCTATAAAATATTATATTGATTCATAATAAAAATGATGTATTTTTTTAGTAAAATAGCATGCTAAATAATCAACAGTATATATTAAAATGCCAATATTTTCCAGTTTAACGAATTTTGTAAATTGTCCTGAAGATTATGAAAATATAATGAAAATAAAACAATTTAAACATCCTACTTTTAATTTCGGATTAATGCGACTAAGGTCGAATTTAAAAAGTAAAAACCTTGTTATAAACACAAATTTCATCACACAAAAGGACTCGTATCATCAAACCAGGTTATGATGTTCGAGTTTGTGTCATTATGGAATTTATTGATTGACACCGGAAAATGAAGAAATGTTCATGTTACTAAATATCGTCCATAATGGTTTTAGCACACACTTAGTAGAAGAAACAGGGAAGTGATGATGGTCTTTGTGAAAAATATCTAGATTGCTTAGATCTCTAACAAATACGTGTTATCCTGGAAACCAGCTACATCAATGTGTCAATTAAGGAAATCTGTCTATTTCTTAGCTAAATATGGACAGTTTTCGCTTGTTCTTCCCTCTCAAGTCCACGAACAAAGTGCCATTCCCGTCTTTCCTTCCATTTCTTAATGAAGTTTGTAAGTCTACCGACGAATACCTAAATTGCCTCAAACGTTTCACCACTGTGATTTACTGTGACGTTTGGACATAAAATTCGGCCATGTTCGCGAGAACACTGCCTCACAGTTAGTCGGTGGTAATGGCGACTCCTTTTGTCAGGCCTGGCCGCTATTGCCGACCCTCGATGCACATGTCACTTGATTTTACTACGTATACAAGCCAGGGCGAAATGGCCACACAAAGTCATAAAATCGAAGTAGGAAGAAAAAAATATAATAAAAAATAAAACCAAAACGCCCCGGCGGCCATTTTTTTGCTTTAAGTGGGTCGTAAGTTTGGGAGAACGACAGGGTGATCTCGTTACTTGTGTTGTTTCAATCAGAGATTCTAAATAGAAGTAGTGTAATATTTCCATAATTATGAGCGAACAGAAGAGAAGTTTATGTCTTTCGTTTTAGCAGGTCAGACTGGAGAGAAAATGAAAAGGCCATAAAATTTGTACTCTGTAGTAGATATATATAAGGTTTAATCTCCCAGCCCACACCTGCATTTTAGCTCGAAAGCTCAGACGAACAGGCAAAACATGGCCGATCACTTGTTTTCACTACATAGGACGAACTAGTCTATTTTGTTGTTGAATATTTGGAGAAGGATTATTGCGTTTGTTGTGTCCTATGTGGATCACAGTCTCAGTACACCGGGAGTGCATTTCCTTCCTACAGAGGTAAGTTAAGTACAAGACAAAGAAAAACAAAACAAAATATGATATATATGTAATATCAATTTAGGGGTGGACCTTGTTTACACTCAACCCAATCCACCCTGAGTGAACCCTAAATGAGTAAGCAATGTATATATACAGGACATGCGCAATGTAAACATATAAGCAGAACAGAGAAAAACGTCACCACTCGTACAATTCTTAGTAATAAGTTTAATTTCACTAAAACTTCAGTTTAACTATAAAATAAAAGAATTATGTTACCTAAACAAATACTTAAAAATACAAAAGAACAACTAAAGAACAGCTGAAATTGCTTTGTTGATAAAATGTATTTAAAGAAATGAAAATACTGATGTGAATTATTAAAATCTTCTAAATTCAAAAATGAAATGATAGATATTTATATTTTGGTACATAATAAAAATACAAAATATTATAACTGTACATTTAAGATTTTCCCTAAAGTGTTCTTAATAGTTGTTTATATTATTGTACTTAAATATAATATAAATACAATTATGTGTAATATACTCTAATACTGATTCGGTTGTCATTTGCATTCTTGCTTACGCGTGTGGGGAGGGAATATGCTAGTGTTAAATAAATATGCACAGAAAATTGTTATATTTAAAGTGAATATATATTTGAATGATTATCACATAAAAGTACAAATAAATATCTTTTATTTACGGGTATATTACGTTAAAAAACATGAACCATGAGACTGAAATTGACATCCAAAATTCCCACGTGTAACCGTAAAAAGTTGATTAGCGTTGAATTAATTATGATAGAAACATTATAAAACTAAATATAGAAATATTTTTACAAACACTATTAATAAATTGTAAATTTCTTGATAAAAAAATCGATCTATGTTGATATTACTTAGAAAAGGACATCTAATTTTAGTTATTTACCAATGGATGGCCCGTCGAAATTTACGCTGGGCTAGCCTAAAAGTGAGTAATGGGTTTTAAATCTGAGTGTTGATTCCCCAATTGAAGATAATCTAACAATTCTTCACCAACATGTTAATACAGTCAACTCAAAGGCGTCCACTTAAAAACACATACATCACATACATAGGTTTGTGTGTAAGTCTATGTAGCCACCTCTCTACAACACACATCCGAACGCGCTGGGGGAGACAAAGCTTAATTCAAAATTGGTGAGACGTGCAATGGGTTAACAAA